TGTGTGTGTGTGTGTGTGTGTGTGACTGAAACAGCTACATATGGCTGTCATTATGGCTGGATATATGAGTGGGGGCTCAGGACAAGAGGGTAAATGTCATTTCATCAATGAGGTTATCTCTAATAGATGGACAGTTGAAGTCCTGGTTTCCATTTACTCTGCTCTCCTCTGAATCCCTGTACCTCTCTTCAAATCCATCGCTAAAGGCCATAATGACAAGTGATAAAAGGCTTGGTTTACATTTTAGTTTTCCTGTCTCCAGCATTCTCAATAGATTTGTGGAGAAATGAGGCCATGAAGAGTTCACCGGCCCCTGTTGCTAACAGTGTTTTTATCTGAAAAATCTTAAGTTTCATTATGATTCATTCTTTTATAGATTTTTCTTTGCCTCTTTTATATCTTGTCCTATTTTACTGTCGAATTCAGTTTTGTCATGGTTGATTTTTTTCTTTATTTTTGATTCCGTTCAATGTGGCTGTTTGAATTATGTGATATTCTAGTCGAAGGACTAGATCAGCAGAACCCAAACCCGTGTTTTAGTGGCGAACCTTCACCTCCCATTCACTCCCAATCCGTGCGAGCGAGAAGGTGAATAAAACATTCTCTGCCTGTGGCGAGGCAAATTGCAGCAATAGTTGCTTCGCCTTTTCACATGTAACCCTGTAACACTTTAAAAAAGTACTCCAGTAATTTATTTTTTGCAACATTTGATTCAAAATATTCTGGAGTGTTTCCATACAGCCCTGTTTCTGCAAGCCAGCTCTGTCACTTTTTGACAGTTAAACTTGTTTTAATAAGTTAGTCCTGTCTTAAGTACCAATTATAATAATTATGTATTTCACACTTTTCATAGCATAAAATGCAGCAAGAAAAGATATTGAAACAGTAAAATATATTGTTTTTAAAGAGTTAAGTTATCATAAAGCAATATCATAAATAGAAACATTGAGGCTCATTCTGACTAATATTTCATGAAAAATGTGGTTTCTTTGTATGATACATGCAAATATTTAAAAAGTGCAAAAGATAAGATGCAAGAGGAGCTTCTTAGATCTTAAAATGTCAATGTTCACTTTAGTGTTTTCGTCCACACTGTCAGTTTTTAACTTTCTGTTATAGATTCCTATATTCCTATATAACACTGCATATTGGCAGGATTTGTATCACCGTCTTGAAACCAATTGTATCACACTCTTCGCTTCCTATATTCTGTTGGTATTTGTGACTTTATTACTGTTTGACCTTGACCTTTGACCCCAGCTATGAGGAGCGAGCTCGGTACCTAGAAACCATCGTGCAGCACCACCAGGAGCTGACCACGTTTGAGGATTACGCAGCTCGAGTGTACAGTCCTGCCCCCTGTACTCACCTGCCATCCGACACAGGTAACACCTGATCCTTCACAACCAGACACATTTACAACAACGACACAAACAAGGGGATTGTCTATTTACTTGCATGGGTTATTTAAAAACAAATCACGTGACACTTCACTATTGTGACTTTTTTTTTCGCTTTAAAGTACATTGTGAGAAATCTGCCTTCTAGGTATTAAACTGCCCTCTATCATAATATTAACTCCAGAGAGACCACACACAGACACACACTCCCCCATGGACACACACTAGCCACTCACAGTCTGATGCGGAGCTCTGTCTCCAGAGCGTCTCTGAGGAATTGTCTGACATCTGATCAGCGGTAGAGATGCAGGCAGACACAGTTAAATTCTGACGTATGACTCTCTCATGTAACCTGACAAGTTTCATAGATGCATACTGATCCGTTTTGTTTCTGGTTAGGTGTGATTTACAATGGTTTAATGGACTCACATCTAATTCAGTTCATTAATATGGCAGTAATTTACAGTAATTTCATGTCCACATACAAGCCACACATTTCCTTCTTAGGTCATACTCATACAGCACAAAGGAATTAAACATGGAGCCTCTGCTCAGCAGGGTTTCTCCAATTGGTTGAAGGATGAGGTCCTATCTTGATTCCAAGGTTGGTTTTGAAAGTGCTAAATTTAAGCTTTCTCTGCTGGCCTCAGAGTATAATGTCCGTAGAAATCCGTGCGAGCACCGCAGGGGATTCCCGCTGGATTCACTACAAGCAGGTGGAGGGTTGATGGGGCTTCTAACGCCACAAAAACGTGAACACGTCTGTGCAGAGAATCTCCCGCTCCGTTGTGCATGCGTGGAAGGAAAACTGTGGGTACACTCTGTAGCCAATTCTCCAGATTTGTCCACCGATGTAAAAAGGACTTTATTTTACTTACTGCAGGGATGGGCAATTAACCGAAGATGTATCGAAACCTACATTTATAACCTCAACTTAATCTCGATCATGTTGTTTAATTTGGTAAATACTTTCCCACGGTCCACACTCTTGCTGATCTTTGCTCACTTTACACCAACACTGATCAGAAGGACAGATGCAGGACTTGAAGTTTACTTTGTGTTTGTTTGTTATGCCTTATAGTTTGTCCGACATGTACTGTATTTAAACACATTGAAAAAAAGTCCAACATTTTGCGCGCATGCAGTTCGACTGCCACACACAGTATGAGACCTAACGTAACACACACAGCCAGGACATCAGGGTTAAAGTGACCAGAATGTTAAAAAATATCCCAGCTTTAATATTTCAGCATATTTCAAATGCAGACCCTGTCAGAGAACAATGAGGGCAATGTATGAAAACATAAAATAATCATTAATTCATCATAATCGAGGTGAAGTTTGAAATAATCATGATATTGATTTGAAGTCATATCACCCAGCCTATAGACT